ATTACCTCAGACCGTTCAGTATGACTCTTTTGTTCCAGATTCGGTTGGCTTGGACCTGTCGAAGGCTTGGGGTTTAAACCCACAATGGAAAATTCTGGCCCTGGCAGTGGATGCTGGGCATGGCTGTTTCGACGGTTTTGTCTGCATGCGTCCGCATCCCGGCAAACGTATGAACTCGCTGTACTCCTTCCTATTTATTCATATCCTTGTGACTCCATTTTCCCGGTCTATTGTCCGACATTTTGTTTCTCCGTATCTTCTCTCATTAGAGCCTTACTCCGTTTCCCCACGATAACGGGGTAACAGTTACTTCAATTTCGATTGATATGCTTATACAGAACATTCTTCCATCCTCCACACCAACGTTTGTGACCTCGTCCGCTTTGTGTTCCGTTTTTACACAGCGTTTTTGTTCTGCCTCCCTAACATCTCCAGTATGTACGTATTCCAAGTAGTTTATCTATTTACCTTTAATGCCGTTGTACATATGATTATTTTGAACATATGATCATGCCTTGTGCATGATTCACGGGTTTCGTGAAATATACATTATCATTAATATTATTAACTTTACATCGGCAGCGTAGAGGAAACAGGGATTTTTAAGGCCTTCGGTGATATCATTCAGGAAAATGAGAAAGAGAAGGGGCGCTAGTATGCAACCTTGGGGCACTCCACTGATAAGGGAGCCAGTGTCCGAGTGAGCCCCTCTGACTTTGACGGTGAATGAACGACCGGAGAGGAGGTTTTATATCCAGTCGCATATGGTCTTGGAGATTCCTGCTTTTCTAAGTTTTAAGCTCAGCAGTCGGTCGTTTACGGATTCGAAGGCTTTTTTGGAAATCTAAGTAGCATACTTCGACTTGGTTACTTCTATCCAGCCTGTCTGTGATAATGTCCAGGAAGGTGAGGAGATTCGAGAGATAGGATTTGCCCTTTAGGAATCCGTGCTGAGCGTAACTGAAGAAGCCTTTGTTGAAAAGAAAAGAGCATATATTGTCCCGCAGGATGCGCCTAACGTTTTAATCATCATACTGGTTAGGCTAATAGGTCTGTAGTTCGATATACTGGAACTATCTCCGTCTTTGAAAACGGGAATTATAGTTGCCTTGTTCCAGTCTGAAGAGACGATGCCCAGAGAGGGGCATATTGAATAAGCAGGCTAGTTCGGGGCTTAGTAAGGAGCTGAGGTGCCTGGTGATGAAAGGATGGACATCATCAGAACCGGAGTACTTGTTTGGATTGAGCATATACAAGGCCCTATCTACGTTCTCTGGGGTAACGAAGACCGCAGGCGTATCGTAGACTTGGTTGTTGGTGGGCTGATATAGATTACTGTCGGTTCTGTGCACGCTCAAGAAGTACAACAGAAAAGTATTTGCGATTTGCTCATCCGTGGTTAGCAGGCTGCCTTGAACTCGCAGTACGTTGCCGACCTCTTTCCTAGTAGAACGCCTTGGTTGTACTTACCCAAAGTGACTTTTTGGTTTCAGCTTGGCGTCCCTTGCGATGCCAAGTATGTATGCCTATCTAGCCTTCTTGGAAGTCTTAATCGCTTGGTTTATCAGGAGGTCCCTAAAACCCATGACGAGTTTCGTGAAACGGCGCTGTATACCTTCCAGTAGCTGGGTGTCCCGAACCAGCGCCGGCGCCCATGCCTAGACGCAATAATCCAGGTGAGGTTCCACAAATGCCTTGTACAAAGGCACTATTACTCTGGTCTCCTTAGAAGCAGCTGTACGCAGCAATTGGTACAGCACTCGGTTGGCCTTGGTGGCAGCAGTCCGGACACACTCGGATGGCCTGGAGTGCTGGGTAGCTAGGACTCCTAGGTCCTCCACTTATTCTACTAGTGGGATTAACCTGGGATTGTCCGTATTCAGGTGGCGGTTCACCGAAATGCGTGCGTCCCTTAAGTGACTGCACTTATCTGGGTTTATTGGGAGCTCCCATTCAGACGCTCATTTGTATATCCTACTTAGGTCCTCCTGCATTTCGTTACCTCCCGGCCTACGTACTAGTTCGAGATCATCTGCAAAGATGAACGCCAGAGATGTAAGATCACCAGCCAAGTCGTAAAAGTAGATCAGAAACAGAAGCGGCCCCACAACTGAACCATGTGGCACCCCGCTGGAGACGTCTGCTTGTCTAGATCTATCTTCATCCACCTTACCGTAAAAGGATCTGTTATTTAAGTAGGCAGAAGTCCACTGTAGGATCCTTTCGTTTATTTTGAGTGCTCTCATCTTAGCTAGGAGTTAAATGTTAACTGAATCGAAAGTCTTCTAGAAGTCAATGTAACACACCTCAGTTGTCTCACTCCGATCAACATTGCCCGTGAATTCATCATCGAAGTAGACAAGATTTGTGAGCGAAATCTCCATTTCGTGAATCCATGCTGGCACACAGCAAGTAAATCATGTTCTGCTACATGAGAGCTCAACCGACCCCGAAGTACATTCTTCAGGACCTCAAGTGGTCGTTATGTTTTGAGCCGCGTATATCCGTTGTTTATTATTAGGTCGCACAGCACTATATATATATATAAAATATAGCACAGTAACAATAGTAACACGCTAATCGAGAACAGCGGACTAACATTAAGTCCGTGAGCGGGTAATAGTTCTAGGAGCGGACGCTACTTAGGTGAAATACAGGGTGCACGGTCGGTTATCAATCTCTCAGGCCTCCCAAACACACGAGAGATAAGAAAGGGCTTCAACAGCACGGGATAATAATGGCGTTGAGCACAAATCACAAGTCACGAGTAGTGCATCACAAGTCAATTTACAAGTTCACCCTGCTGCTAATATGTGACTGGAAATAACATGGATCAATGCAGAAAAAAGAATGTACCAATTAAATGCACAGTGAGCAATGTTCAAACGGCTATAGGCTACGGATCAGACGAACGGATTGAGTGGATATTGCCGTACGACGCAATATTATTCATTCATCTCCGCGAAATGAGTATCGATCCGAGATGACCCAGCTTGGGTTGAATGTGTTGTAAAATTGTTTGATTTTGCTCACTGAATTAGAAAGTGTGCGGCCGGCTTATCGTGGGACGAATGGCGTTGATCTTCGTCCCAACAAGGATAGGGAAATAAGACTCACCGGGCGGTGGTTTGAGGCCTTTTCGTTGGTATGTTCCTTGTGATTCGGAATTACCTTGGCTTGTTTCCAGTCTGATGGTAGGGTTGCCGTAATGATCAACCGGTTAAAAAGCCAATCTAACGGTTCAGCAACTATACCTGCAATGTTTTTTGATATTGCTAAATGTATATCATCTGGACTGGCAGTCTTTTCTGTGCTTAGTGCACCCTGAAGTTTTTCCACTTCTAGTCTGGTGATAGGCGGATTTGCCAACTGCGGAACATCGACCGGTAATAAGGTATGGACCTCTCTACCTCCTCTTTACCACCTGATTATTTCGCAATTTTACAGTGGAAAACTGCGTTCTATCCTAAACACATTTTATCAAATCAATTCGTTCCATTCTCAAG